AAGAGGCCGAAGTAAGTCATGGGGGTGTCCATATATATGTATATAAACATATATATATATATATGTATATGTGTGTATATATATATGTATATATTCACATCAGTACAGTTTGTCAGTACAGTTTGAAATCGTTTCCTCGTTTGTAGAACAGATAATATCACTTGCTTTTGGAGTGTGATGTCAACTTACAGCCTGCAACATCACAATATAGGTTGGAGTAGCCCTCACAGCTCTAACAGAGGAGCGAAGTTCTGGTTCAACTAATGTCAATAATGCTGGTGTCGATTTCTGACCTCGATCCTGGTTGAGGCGATTGAGGCCTCCACAATGCTATTGATTGGCAGTACAAAAAGCCTAGATTCCTAGATGCCACGGCAGTTGGTTGCGAGGTCATTGTTCGTGTGCTCGTGAGAAAACTTACGGTCGAATGCCTCAGCGGTAGCCAAACCAGAACAAGCCCGGGGGTTCGGGACAATCCTGCCCCATCTGAATGCACGCATACTTTTCATAGTGCACAATCGTACTCCTAAACCGATCAAAGCTGTCGCAGGAACGCCTCCAAAAATCCAACGGCTGTCTCGTTGCAAGTGCAAGCTCGTTGGTGTCAGGCAGTTCCAACCCAAGGGAAAACATGGGTTGCCACATTTCTTGCTCACCCTCCCTTCGTTGAAACTTTATTAGGTTGAAACCCTAAACCCTCTGAGCATTGAGATTTTGGGCTCATGTCTTCCCGGGCCGCGGAAAAAGCTTCTGACCTGGACTGCCATGGTCAAGCTCGGAGTTGGAGTTCCTTGCGGCGGCCTCCGTCACTACAGGCCCTTGCTCGCCTTTCTGCTTCGCCTCTTGGAATATTAATATGAGTATTCATATTTGCAATACTCATATGAATATAAGAAAAGTCTCATGACGTGCTACATACCTCGAGTATTCATATTATCAGTATTCATATGAACATTATAAATATAAGTCTCGTAACGTGCTACAGACCTCGACTGCTAACTCGGCTCGGACTGGCTCTCCAGATAAAGCGAGCTATCCTCAGGCCCCACTGGTTCAGGGGTTTCTCGTTTAGGGTTGCGTAGTTGCGATAGTTGTGAGGTAGAGCCCTGAGATGCAAAGAATCGGTTGAAGCTGAGCCCGAGATCGCCAGAACTGTGCCTAAGCCAAACCGCCACCCAAGTAAAGTGCTTTTCGTAAGCAGACTTCGGTAACTCGTCGTGGGAGGAGCTGTGGCGCAATCTGCAAGAATGCTATCGTGAGGGAGTCTGGCTGACTTCGGGCAGGCACCGAAGAAATTGCTAGCTCACGTGCAACCTCGATTGGTCGAGTCTCGATTGCCAGTTGCGATATGCAGCAACTGCTGCATGGGCGATGGATCTTGGTCTTACCAGTCTTATCAGTGGAAGTAGCTTTGCGGAAGCGGCTTCCCTCAGCAGCTTGCCTGTAGATTCATGGCATCTGACTCGGCTATCGTTTTAGAGCAGCGAGCCTCCATGCTGCTTGGAAGCTGGCAAGTGCTTGTCGAAACACACCGCTGCTCTGCTTCAGTCCAGATTGAACTGACCAATTCTGCATGCATTATCCTTACACCGAGTACGATGGCTTGCACTCATAATACACGATAAGATAAAGATAGGGTAAGATAAGATGATATAGCTTGCTTTAACTATAATGCAATGAAATCAAAACAGAGTATAGTCTAATATGGTTCAGTGAAGTATAACATAATAATATAAGGTAACCAAATTCAAGAATATAATACAATACACTATACTTGCGCAAAATCGAATACCACGAAAATGCAATAGATATGATATACTTACCTCCATGGCAGCTGAGACAAGACCCTTTGGGGTGCCAGTTCCTTGGGAAGTGAGACCATCCAGAGCAGGCCGCCGGCTCCATCGAGTTTACCCTTGCCATGTTTTTTCCAAGATACCATGGAACGGTATATACTATTTTATGTAGTGGAACTACCAATCTGTTGGTCCTCAGGGGCACAGTGCTCCAGTTACCGGCATTGAAGGCAAGCCTCCCGACAGCATAAGGCAACCCCATGCTGCCGACTGAAGGGCTAGTCACCTACACCCTTTGGGTGTAGATGCCAGGGGTGCCAGGCCCAAGGTGAGCTTTGGGGCCAGCAGAATCATTACAAGCTGCGTTAGGAGCTGTCTGTCATTGGTCACCGGTTTCACGGGAACATGCTGGAGAGGGAGTATCTTTCTCCCTTGTCGAGGCGTTCAAGCATTCTGCGACAAACGTTTCGAGTCTTTGGGTGACTTGCTGGAGGAGTGGTGTAAAGTTGAGCGGTGCTTTCTGTCATCGACGCAAGTGCTGCTTCCATAAGACATCGCAGAGACAACGACTACAAGTACGACACACAAATACCACTACTACGGCCATGACCCTTAAAACTGTGCTAACCAGTGTTGGGCAGTTTGGAACAGACTGTCTTCACGATCACGCCTTTCGTGGCCAGGCCAGCAAAGTGTCCAGAAAATCAACGTGTTAGATGAGTGAGCGTCCTTGCGAACACACCCTAAACCCGAAACCCCAAA